CCGCTAAAGCAGGTTAAATAATACTAATGAAGATAGCGAATGTCCCGCTAAAGCAGGTTAAATAATACTAATGAAGATAGCGAATGTCCCGCTAAAGCAGGTTAAATAATACTAATGAAGATAGCGAATGTCTCGCTATAGCAGGTTAAATAATACTAATGAAGATAGCGAATGTCTCGCTAAAGCAGGTTAAATAATACGTTAAATGTAAAACACATAAAGCGTTTTCGCAAGTAAGAACGTAAATGCGATGAGAGCACTAGGTAAGTGAAATTTCATTTTTTAAGGTCACCATTCTCCGGTGAAAAGGCAGTGGTCAGCGGGAGAGTGGCCTCTACAGCACGAGGAATTAAACAAAGCCAGCGAAAAAGAAGTTCGTTTGAGAAAACCACCAAGACCAAAATCCGAGGTGATATTCAACGGTGATCGTGTCAGGTGTCAGCGGTACTCTGGTCTTGGGTTTACGGTAAGTGTTTTAACTGTGAATCCGAGCGTCAGTGGCTCGCGTCCTGGAGCCGTGGGTATATTATAAGAGTAAAGTAGCCCCAGGTATATTGTAAGAGTAAAGTAGCCCCAGGTATATTGTAAGAGTAAAGTAGCCCCAGGTATATTGTAAGAGTAAAGTAGCCCCAGGTATATTGTAAGAGTAAAGTAGCCCCAGGTATATTGTAAGATTAAAGTAGCCCCAGGTATATTGTAAGAGTAAAGTAGCCTCAGGTATATTGAAAGAGTAAAGTAGCCCCAGGTATATTGAAAGAGTAAAGTAGCCCCAGGTATATTGTAAGATTAAAGTAACTCCAGAATTGGCTGCAGATACTCTTGACTAGCAACCTTCCCTCACAATTAGCTTTTCGCAACAGTCAAGAAACAAACTAATTTTTGTTTTGTCTTTTCAAGTGCTCTAACCCACATCCGGGTATTAAATACAGTGTTTTATGCACTGAACTTCTCGCATTTGTAGAGATTCTAATTTCCAAATATGTGCTTTAAGCATCTCACAGTTGAATATATTAGTAAGAAATGTTATGTTGTAAATGTAGGCGTTTTTGTTTGTTTGTTTTTTAAATAGATTTGCAGAACATTAAACACCTTGGTCTTTTCTTGATTTGTATTTCCTCACCACCAACAACAGGTACAATAAAGTGTTTAGCGGGAAATAAAAGTATTGTAAGCCTTGGCAGTAAAAGTAAGTTTTGATTGTCATCATTGTTAGAGATGTATACAACATTTTAAAAAACTGATCAAAGAAATTTAGTGACAGCTGGAAACGTACAGGAATGAAAAAATTTGATTACTCGACTTTTAAAACTCTATACATAAAATACAATATCTTCATGAGTATTATTTAACCTGCTATAGCGGGACATTCGCTATCTTCATTAGTATTATTTAACCTGCCATAGCGGGATATTCGCTATCTTCATTAGTATTATTTAACCTGCTATAGCGGGACATTCGCTATCTTCATTAGTATTATTTAACCTGCTATAGCGGGACATTCGCTATCTTCATTTGTATTATTTAACCTGCCATAGCGGGACATTCGCTATCTTCATTAGTATTATTTAACCTGCTTTAGCGGGACATTCGCTATCTTCATTAGTATTATTTAACCTGCTATAGCGGGACATTCGCTATCTTCATTTAAGTGTAATATTAACATAAGACTGCAGTGTTTTACATTTAACAAGTGTAATATTAACATAAGACTGCAGTGTTTTACATTTAACAAGTGTAATATTAACATAAGACTGCAGTGTTTTACATTTAACAAGTGTAATATTAACATAAGACTGCAGCAAATATGAATATGAAACCATTTCGACATATGAAGAGACCATATTTACCCAAGTAAAGGGAAAACCTGGAGTTATTAGTAAAATCCTCCAAGTTGAGTGTGATATTGTTGTACTTGCTCATAATAGTGTTCCACCGTATATCTTAATAAAATGTGTTGGTATTAAATGCAGGTTTATACAAAGTCTTTTTTTACTTTAATACATGGAACCACAATCAATAAAGAGTTTAAAAGTTATGAAAATAGCCATGAAGAATATGTTAGTATTCTCTTTTCCCAGTTGCACAACTATTTTTTTCAGTATATAATTCATTAGCAAAACGTATATTTGAAACGAAAAAAAACATCAGATAGTCCTCGTGAGTACATATTAAAGTTAATATCCACTATAATTCAAAACATAACTTATCAGCTAGTCTTCGTGTGTACATACCAAAATAATATCCACTATAATTCAAAACATACCTTATCAGCTAGTCCTCGTGTGTACATACCAAAATAATATCCACTATAATTCAAAACATAACTTATCAGCTAGTCTTCGTGTGTACATACCAAAATAATATCCACTATAATTCAAAACATAACTTATCAGCTAGTCTTCGTGAGTACATATTGTGTAACATTCAC